GGGGGGGGGGTCCAAATTTCTACCCCTAAACACTTCAACACTCCTTTCAGATCGTGTTTCATAAAAGAACTGAATAGTAAGAACTTGCAGATTCGTTCTTCTTTTTAATTTTATCAATATTCGATAATAGAAAAAAAGTTCGTTATTACCTTTTGGCGCCGTTCGATATATATATTATTTTGACGACCATAGTTACCATATGGTAACTATATTTCAGACAGACAGACAGACATAGGTGAATTTCGGTTTCTAGACCCTATACTTTCAGTCTAGGGAATTAGAAGTGATTCTTTCCTTCTTCTTTTCTTAATTATTTACAGAAAGCACAAGCAAAAAGTGCATGTGTGATTCAGACGGAAGAAAAAAATAGTTACTATCTAATTCAAAAATAAATAAACCATTCTGAAAAAGTAAAATTTCAATGGGCAAATCTCCAAATGAAACGGGCAATTGCTCATCGGCCCATCCCTTGGCTACGCCGCTGATCAATATTATATAGTTATGAGAAAAAAAAATCTATTATGTTGACAGTGTCACACGAGCTTTTCAATGATTGGTTGCTTGAATAGACATATGAGTGAATGTTATTCCTTTTTATATTTATTGATTTGTCTCATGACATTCTATTTATTTTGTTTAGGTAATTATTTTCCGTTGAGACATGGCACATCAATGCTTTGTTTTATTCTACAGATCGGTTGTGCATAACTTTAGCAAAAAAAAGCGGAAGTACATTGAAAAAAATCGCTTATATTTATTTGAGCAATAAAAATATTGGAATGAGTAATAATTCAAATACAGTTTAGCAATAATTTTTGAGCAATAAGAAAAGTTTATTTAAGCAATTTTATCATATTTTAAATGAACAATAAATAACTTATTAAATAGCAATAGTAACATCATATTTTAGCAACAAAAAATAGAAAAACTACAGGGTGGATGTCGGTGTGGGTGAAAAAAATACTGATATACAACACCTATGTCAACTGAACCCATCCACACCCATATTGCGTTACGCTTTGTGATTGAGCTATTTGCATAAATAAGTATTCTATTTCATAGAATTGAAAAAATACCTATTTGTGTAAATAAATGAATCAATATTGTCCTTTTTATATACAACTTATTTTTTATTGAAATGAACGACTGCTTATTCAACATAATTATTGCTCATTTAAGTTATTTTATTGCTCAATTAAATATAAGTCAAAAAAAATGCTCTCCTAACAGCCCAAGTCAAAAAATCTGACAGTAAGTCTTGTACAATCATATGAAATCGTACAAAAATCGTAGTCTCTGGAATCTTACATCAATTCTTACTGTAAGATTCCTGTCAGATCCTACCGTCGCATAAGATTTTCTATAATCTTACAGTAAGATCTGGCAAGACACCAAGATCTGTCAAGAATCTTACAATAAGAATTGATGTAAGATTTCATATGATTGTACAAGATCATATATGATCAGATGCAAAATCTTGTCCGATCTTAGTGTCCGATTGTTCGCCCTGGGAGTGTTTTTTTTCTAGTTTTGATTTATAAAAAGAGATGAGAAAAAAAAAAGAAAAAAACAAGTCTATAAGATTGCAATATATGAAATAAAGTATATTTACCTTGCTTCTATTGCACTCGTTTTTTTTTTCATTCCTCTTATTCTTTACTTTTTCTTTTCCAATGCACTTTTACTTCCTTTTCATCTCCTGTCATCTGTACTTCGTAGAGATTCAACAATGGAAAAGAGTTCTATATATTATGTGTACAGATTGATCTCATAAAAACTGCTACGTGTCTTACAAGATGCTTCATCAATGGTTTTCAATTTTAAATTCGCTTGTCGTTGTCTTATTTCTTTCGGGTATAGTTGCTACTATTCTTTTACGTATATTATGTAAAGATAATCCGCGTTATAGTCGAATAGTTGGTACTGTAAGTTGAAGAAATAAAATCTATATTTATGATTGTTTTATTTTTCTATAGGGTAGTGCAAAAGAACAATTTGGATGGAAACTGTAAGGATTTATCTATTTCATGTCTTTATTTTGATCGTGTATTGCATACACGTCAGTTTTTTGACATTATTGTTGAGGTTATGTACTTTCTGTATAGTGGAATATTTTGAATACGAAGATTCGTAGATTTATTATCTTTCAAACTACTGACTTTTTGCACTGATACTTCACTTAACTATATACTTTCGATTCAGACTACTTATTATCTTTTATATCGATTTTCAACATTTAGCAAAGAACTTCTCAGAAATAGAAACAAAAAAATTTAAAGCTAACACTTTGTCTATATGTAGATCTCATGGTTATTAAAATGTTCGAAAATCTTTTAGTAAAACGATCAGGTATTAAATGTATGTCGCAAGTAAATAAGAAGATCTAATATGAACAATTTAAGGTATGTTAGTCGCTGAATACAAGTAATAAAGAGATAATATCTACATCTTCAAAATTACTTTCGAATTTCAATAAGAAAAATGACATCAGTTAATGAGTAAAATTTCGTTTCAAACTCTTTTTGTTGAATTTTCAAGAATCTCTTGTTTATAAACAGCTCATAATCAAAAGTTCTTCAAGATTTTGATTAGTGATATGAAGATCTAATCATTAAGATATCGAAAATAAATGTTCAGATTAGTTACAGTTA